AGGCAAAATAATAAATCAAATCAAATCAAATCAACTTTTTATTGTATGAAGGCCATAGGCCCATATACATGAAGTGTACATGGTACAGTAAAGGATCTATTAAACAAAAGATTCACATTTAAGTTCTACTCTTGAATGCATCTTTGAAATATAACATTACAGAATTTAAGTCTTGATAGTTTGTGGTTGCCATGAGACGAAACAAATTGTTGTACTGAAGGGCGATTTGTACATTCAATTGGTATGTATTTCTTTCGAATGTAAAAACAATGTTTATTAGTTATAAACGTAGTTTGCTGTCCCAACACAGCTTCAAAGACTAGTCATTCATCACCAGCAGTGAGTATGGTTTTACGCCACCGCAAGTTAGCAATATTCCAGCAATTCCAGGACAGGGGACACCAGAATTTGGCTTCAGACATTGTACCCATGTGGGGAATCGAATCGTCTACAGGGTGACGAGCGAACCCTTTAACCACAATGGAAATAATGGACTGGAACCTAAAATTGCAATACTGATACACATAATTTCACATTCACGTCTGGAGCAGGCGTTTCAAAAGATGAAGAAGATCTCACGAGTTACCTCCCTCTATGAGAAGCAAAATGTGAAAGGTTCCGTTATTTTGTTCATCGACTCTGAGAGTATGAACCAGTTACTAACCAGGGCCTAGATTTTCGAAGCTCTCTTAGCGCTAAGATAGTCGTAAGTTAATGTTAATGTATGGCACTTACGACTATCTTAGCGCTAAGAGAGCTTCGAAAATCTAGGCCCAGGTGAGGTGAGGTGAAATTGGGTTTTACGTCCTACTTGAGAATATTTCGCTCATATGACGACGTGCATGCGTGTATGTGCATGTGCGGCTGCTTGTACTGGCCCAGGTGAGGTGAGGTGAAATTGGGTTTTACGTCGTACTTGAGAATATTTCGCTAATATGACGACGTGCATGCGCACCCCGAGTGGGTTCCGAGGATTGGGGTGCACCCCACCCCACCCCCAACGAAAATCTTGTATCCGCCCCTGCATGCGTGTGTATGTGTATGTGCGGCTGCTTGTACTAGACCAGACTAAGCTGGTTTTATAGTGCCAGCTCACTGAGATACCATGCCGCAGTGAAGCATGAATACCCTACTCAGACACATTATACTGACTCCGAGCCGACCAGTCCTTGTTGTACCCAATAATGCCGAGCGCCAGGCAGGGACCAACAAGTACCATATTTTAACGTCTTTTGGTATAACGCGGTCGGGGATCGAACCGCGACCTTCCGCTCTCCGGGCAGTTACTAACCACATTGTGACCTTCTGTGAGTACACCAAATACTGGCATCATCTACTTGGCGGTGTATCATGTGTATTCTTGCAGCGCCGAACTCCAATCACGGACAAGATTTGTTTGTTGTTTAATGCCGCACTCATCAATATTCCAGCTATATGGCGGCGGTCTGTAAATAATCGAGTCTGGACAAGACAATCCAGTGATTAACCGCATGAACATCGATCGACACAATTGGGATACGATGACATGTGTCAGTCAACCAAGTCAGTCAGCCTGACCACCCGATCCCGTTAGTCGCCTCTTAGGACAAGCATGGGTTGCTGAAGATCGGTTCTAACCCGGATCTTCACAGATAAGCATCAAATGGTAGTTACCACTCACACCAAGGAGAGGTATATTCTGCCAGATAGGGAACCACAGAGACACCTACACTACTACTCAGACCAAGACTGAGGGGTGACATATTTATATACAAGTTTTCCATTAGCAGGAAACAACAAAATAACACAATAAAAAAACCATTTTATTAACGATACTGATGAAATGATTCAATCAAAATGACATAAAAATCATATTCATTTACATTATTGAACAATGAAATTTCTTAGTTTCATATATGAATATAATAAAATACAAATGAACTGAGGAAAAAAGCTTCTTTTGACATATGGTTAACAAAATTAGTGGTACAATATTTTACAGTTTGAGTGGTCAAGGAGAAACCATATATACCAACTCAGGACTCGAAAACCAACTTTCATCTTAACTTCCACTCTTTGTCACACCTTTCATCTTTCACATTCTTAAAAAGATCAGTAAAAATTATGCTTTGACATTGCATAAACAAAATTTAATATTAGAAAAGCAACAATTCTGAAAGTAGTGAGTGAGTGAGTATAGTTTTACGCCGCACTCAGCAATATTCCAGCCAAATATAGCAGAGGTGTGTAAATAATCGAGTCTGGACCAGACAATCCAGTGATCAACAGCGTGAGCATCGATCTCAGCGCAATTGGGAACTGATGACATGTGTCAACCAAGTCAGCGAGCCTGACCACCCATATGAATACTGAATGGTTTGAAAGCATATCACCTTCATAACTTGACACTGATGACTTACATTCAATGCATACATATATGTTGATGATATATTGCATGATATACTGATGTATTCTCACCATTTATGCATTGGGTGATCATATTTGAATATTAAAGTCATCACTGATATCTTCTTTGAGTAGTGGGGTGGGTGGGTAGCCTAGTGGTTAAAGCGTTGGCTCGTCACGCCGACCCGGGTTCGAATCCCCACATGGGTACAATGTGTGAAGCCCATTTCTGGTGTCCCCTGCCGGATGTTGCTGGAATATTGCTAAAAGCGGCGTAAAACCAAAATCAGTCAGTCACTCTTTGAGTGGCATATTTAGAAGTTGGAGAGTCAGAGGAAGGACAAACTTTATGGATGAACCACTTCTTTATTCATGTGAATGTTCAATATAGAAGTCGTTTATCCATAAAGTTTGTCCTCTCCCATCATTTATATCATGATTCAACTTCAACGCTTTTGCCAACTTCAACGCTTCTGCCAACTTCATCGCTTCTGCCAACTACAATAAATATGATATTTAGAGAAACAAAATATATTACGCATTTTCTGTCAACTACACTTCGTTTCGATCCGTGATTAGACGCAATATATATGATTGTGAATTCTTTGAATAATGTGGACCAAAGTTATAATTATTGGTAACTGCCAGTGGTCTGTGGTCTGTGTTTGCCGCGATTAGGACCCCATCTCGGGGGATCGACTTATGCACGAAACATACCATTTTGACACTGATTTTAAGGGTCAAGTTTGGGGGTCGTCTTATCCATGGGGTCGTCTTATAGACAGTAATATACGGTACTATGGAACTCTTTGAATGACATTTAGAAGTGCCACATGTAAAATGATAGAGGGTAATTTATGGATGTGAACTTCTGTAATTTGCTGAACAAAACATTTAAGGTATATTTGTACTCCTTCTTTCACCCTGAAATGACATGTTCCAATTATCACAGAAATTGACATCCCAAAACTCCTTCCCCCGTCATCCACAACTCTCCCATTAACTGTGCCACCCTTGCCCTCCTCTGTAGAGTAACCTGCCCCAGAGCACTTGTCAAATGTCAAATCTCAAACAATAGCACATTATTCTAAATGTATTTGTATGATGATCAGTGAATTGGGTCAAATGCTGTTTTAACACTTTGTTAGAGAGCAGATATAATGTTGGATGTTCAAGGTGAGGTGAAAACCTCCATTCACTCAGTGTTGGTCTGAGAGGGCAGGAATATGGGCCATTAATGTTTAGGTTTCAAAATCCTGTTGTTTTCAAAACATTTTTACTGTTAAAGTGAGCACCAGGACATGTTTATATAAAATTAGATTAAATCGAAAAAGAATTACATCAACCTCTGTTGTGCTTTGTTTTCAGAACTCAAGGATAACATAATTTCTGTTCTTTTTCTTTTGTAAAATCTCTTGGAGCAAGTGACCTTATTCTCATGTAAGATCTTGGTGTCGTGTGGCGTAAATAAGTCTGACAACACGGAATGAATGTTTCTATATAATAGGAAACTTTTGGACACGTCAAGAGACTGGATTCACTTCACAATATGTATAGCACAACACACAATTCTGCATTTTTCAACATGCTGTTTTTCTGATATTCTCATCCTAAGGTATACAATGATAAGGCAAGGAAGTGTTTTCATTTCTCCCACATCACTTGAATGTATGCCCTCATGTTATGATAACAACACAAATATTTCACTCAAATGTAAAACAGTCTTTACCTGATAGTAAGTCGGTGAGTATGGTTTTACGTCGCTTTTAGCAACATCCAGCAACATTACGGCGGGGGAAGCCAGAAATGGGCTTCACACATTGTACTCATGTTGGGAATCAAACCCAAGCCTTAGGCGTGACAGGTGAATGCTTTGACCACAAGGCTACCCACTGCCCCCTTTACCTGATAGCCCCCAAATGGTGACACAGTTTGAAACCCAGAAATGTACAGGTTATTTTTGAAACAACATCTATCAACACTGAAACAAGCATGCAATATTCAGCATGAAAATGTTGTCAACCATGCTTTTTGTTTGTGTGTTTAACACCATACTTAGCAATATTCCAGCTATATGATGGCAGTCTGTAGATATTCAAGTGTGGATTAGACAATCCAGTGATTGACATAATGAGCATTGATCTTCACACTTGGGTATGATGACATGTCAAGGCTCGATTTAAGAGATGTTAACCTACTTGCACCAGGTGCAACCTAAGATAAAAACCTAGTTGCACCAGCTAAATTCCAGTTGCAACGTAGTGTGTTAAAACGTCAGAGGTTTTGGTGCACATAAACATATTTCCGTGATGTTGTAGCCATGAAACCATAGCAACACAGAGACACAGCTGGTTCCAGTTTACTAGAGCTGTCATAGCCAAGAGGTGTCTATAACCAGCAATGTTTTGGTGCCATAGCTATCCAAAGTTTAGAAGAAATATGAGCTGACATATTTATGCTTATAATGTTAGATTTATTGTTGATTTATTTCTCGAAACTTGACTTGCACCTGGTGCAAGTTAGACTAATAACTAGGTTGCATTTTGTAATATTGGGTTGCACCAGTGCAAGTAACAAAGCACTAAATCGAGCCCTGCATGTGTCAACCACGTCAGCCATTAGTTGCCTTTTATGACAAGAGGAAGTTGCTGTGGACCAATTCCAACTCAGATCTTCACAAGTCTGCAACAAAGCATTATGAACAATGTCATCCATATTTCTTGTACCAGGGAGTCTGACATCTGCTGCTCATCCTCGTGGCATCAACCACGTTTCCATGGACACCAGAAGCTGTCATCTGTGAACATGTTTCTCTATATTTCTCCGACTTACAAAGATTTCCCTTCCATGACCATGTCATGAGTGACAAGCCGAACATGTCTTCTTGTGTCTCTGCAAGGCTCTAGGATGTCGGTACACTTTACCACAGACACAGGAATATGTCGTGTTGCCGTGGACACTTTCCACGTGGATCTGTTTGTTCTGAGGTCGCGTGAAGGTCTTGCCACAGTGTTCGCAGACATACAGCCCTTTCTTGTTACAGTCCACAGAGAAATCATCGGGAAATAGTTGCATTGTTTTACTGAGAAAAGGTAGGACCTGCTGTGAAGACAGTATAGTTCTAGAATCTTCTCCTCTGTACATGTCATGGTAAGAGTGGTTGTTGGACCTTTGGTTCCATCGGATTCCGAAACCTGAAAGCAACAAGAGGTAGCAGTGCTTTGAACAGTTCAACAGGATACATTTTCATATTTCCTCATGCTTGAAAACGGTATAAGTATCTATACCGAAAAGTCGCTAGTGTACAATAATAATAATAATAATAATACTTTATTGCCTATAAATAAGTTGATCATCCATAAAGACCTGTCATTCCTATATTCATATTGCTATTATTTGGGGTGTCAGGGTTTGGGACTGATTGACTCTTTTACACCACAGTCAATTTTTACACACATTACTTACTGGATCAGACTTGCTTGCCCCTGGTTTTACAAAAATAAATATTTATTGGACATGTTGGATGTCATGAAAATTATGTGTTGCACAAAAAAGGGGTGTTTTGCTTTCCTTTCAGGTAAATATGGACATGTTGAACAGAATTTTACCATGACTTACAAAAGTGGGGGTCCAGGGGACCCCATCATTAAATTCTATGGGTCGTTGCTGGTAATATGAGAGTCAAGTGGACAGTGGTCAAGTGGACAGTGGTCATGAGACAGTGGTCACATGGACAGTGGTCATGTAGACAGTGGTCATGTGGATAGTGGTCATGTGGACAGTGGTCATGTGGACAGTGGTCATGTGGATAGTGGTCATGTCGACTATGGACAGTGGTCATGTGGACAGTGGTCATGTGGACAGTGGTCATGTAGACAGTGGTCATGTAGACAGTGGTCATGTGGACAGTGGTCATGGCTGATGGGTGAAATTACCGACACACAGATAACTACTCTGTAGGTACACTGTCAGCATTTTTGTGTATCTCCCCGGACACCATATTTCTGGTTTTCTGCTTCCATCCTCTACATTAGCAGTGATGGAAATATGTCAGCCTTCTTCAACTATTCTGTAGGAAAGCATGTGATAACAGTTTTAATGCATGACAACTTGCATCCAGTCGTGTGAGAGTTGTTGTAGCTGATGTATGGTCAAGACTGTATGGTGTGATAAAAAAGAGGTTTCTGACTCCTTGAGTTGAGCTATCAGATTGTTAAGGGTAGCTGTAGTGTAACTTTGCCATGGACACTAAATGGGCAAATGGCCTCAACAATGAGCAGGTGATCAGATTTGTTTCACCAAAGTCAAAAACTTTCAGGAACTTTCTTCAGGCATTCCAAATGATAGTCCATCTGCTCCTTTCTGCACAATTTGGTCTTATAAGAGTGATCTACCATTTGAAAGTAATTTGTCAAAGATGCAGGGGTTTTTTTGTCACTGGTATCTTTAAGCATTGCCATACAGCCCAACACATGCATACACACACACTGCCAGGCACAAGCACACACTGACAGACACAGGCACACACTGACAGACACAGGCACACACTGACAGACAGACACTGGCACACACAGACAGACACAGGCACACATTGACAGACACAGGCACACACTCACAGACAGGCACACACTGACAGGCACAGGCACACACTGACAGACACAGGCAGAGAGACAGACACAGACACACTGACAGACAGACACAGACACACACTGACAGACAGACACAGGCACACACTGACAGACAGACACACACTCACAGACAGACACAGGCACACACTCACAGACAGACACAGGCACACACTCACAGACAGACACACATACACAGAAAATACTATGAATGGCCTCCTCCATGTGACATGCTGCTGTTAGTAAAACAACTAACACAAACTGTAACAGACCCTTTCTGTGAGTGAGTGAGGAGGACACTCTTGAAAGTGACTGTCAACACTATTTCACCTTATTCTCTATTTCTGTACGTATTGAACTAATGGCTGTTTGTTTGTTGTTTAATGCTGACTGAGCCATTTTCCAGCTGTATGACAGCGGTCTGTGTATACTCACATCTGGACCAGGAAATCCAGTGAAAGACATCATGTGCATCAACCTTAGCAATTGGGATAGGATGACATGTGCCAACCAAGTCAGCGAGCCTGACCACCCGATCCTGTTGGTCACCTCTAACGACAAGCATGGGTTGTTGAAGACCAATTCTAGCCCGTATCTTCATGGGTACAGTGAGTGAGTGAGTGAGTGAGTGAGTGAGTGAGTGAGTGAGTGAGTGAGTGACACATTGATCCTGAGCATCCATTCATTCCTATATTTGTCAACATTTAGACAGTATTAGACAGTCTTGCCACCAGTAGACCATCTAAACTAGAACTGTAAAGCTAGGACACTTCAGACTGATTAAACTAAGCCAACTGTAGACTGCCTGGCCAGATGTAGACAGTAGGTTGCCTGTTCTTCTAACACATCCAGTTGTAGAAAACCATCTGATACAACTCTCAGAAACATTTACCTGTCAGATGAAGACTATTGTTGTACACTGTCGGATTGACTGGCAACTTGTTTGGCCACAGAGCAGTCATTCCTGTGTCTGATCAAGTTACACGGATATTTATACTGCTTCCCACAAACACAAGTGTAAGTCTTAGTTCCATGGACGGCCTCAATGTGAAACTTTTTGTTATTGGAATTTGTGAATGTTTTGCCGCAATGTTCGCACTGCCAAAGTCTTTTCAACGAAGTACTGTCACCAAGCGGCAAAGAAAGGTATTCGTCAAAATTCTTAGTAAATGAACTTCCATATATTTTCCCAAAGTCAGCGTTGATATCTGCCCCCGATATAGCCTGGATATCTGCCCCTGATAAAGTCTGGCTTGGAATCAGTCCCAAACCTGCAAGCAACAAAAACAGGTCTAGTGACTTGGAAAGTTACCTCAACTAATAATTTCTTAAAATAGAGGAGTCATTTTTCATGTTTCACAATATTACTTAGATAGACAGATACAACATGACTTAAATGTGACTTTGGCAGCAAGTTCTTTTTCAGTACACAGTCGAACCCTATTTATCCAGACATTTTGGTTACACTCGGAAATCGTCTGGATAGTGAGGCGTCCGGTTAACTGGATCAAACAAGCAAAACGTATTGATTTAAATTTATTCATGTACAGTACAATTACAATGTAGTTAATCCTAATTAATGTGTTTTCATTACTGATGAGATGTTCTCACACCTGCTAAATCCTAATTAACAACTGAAGTGACATGCGTCCCAAGTGTTTTGATGGGTAATTAATCAATTCACATCAAACGCCTGCCGAGAGAGATTAACAAAGAATTCACTTAGTCGAGCGGTAAACATACACATACACATGCATATGCGCACAGATCTATCCATCTGGATACCAGGATCATTTTTCAATGGCAATCTATGGAAATGGTTTGAAAATTCTCCGTCTGGGTCCAGAAGCGCAGGGTCCGGCTAAGCGAGTACAATTACTGAAGGTAAGTTTCGTTTCACCTAAAAATCGTCCGAGGAGTTTCCGGATATACGGGGTCCGAGTAAACGGGGTTCGACTGTATGTACTTCAACATGTATGATGTCGTGTGGATCCTTGGGCTGATAAGTTTCCAGTACCGCAAGTTTGTGATCTCAGATAACTTATTACATCATGTGTTCTGGGTTATTTTGAGTTCCTTGGTTATTATGTACAGCTGTTATATTCGATCATTTTGTGTCTCTTTGTTCCGACAGCATGGCCATAAGCATCTTAACTCACTCCGCCCTGTGTCGACATCTAAACTCACAACACCTGTGAAGATCCGGGTTAGAATTTTCTTTTCTTTTTTTGTTCATCAGCAACCTATGCTTGTAGTAACAGGTGACTAACAGGGTCACATGACCAGGCTCGCCGACTTGGTCATCGTATGATAATTGTGCAGAGCAATGCTTATGATGCGAAGCACTGGACTGTTTGGTCCAGAATCGATTATTTATTCCTGAGTGCAGCATTAAACAACAAACAACACTTATAGAACATATTCCACCTTCTTTTGTCTTCAGTACATAATGGTCAAGGAAAACATTAGAGTTGGTATTTGGTGGGATTTCAAAAAACAGAATAGGTGCCATCAGTGTAAGCACTGATTACAACCGAGATTGGTGGTGACAATATGACCTCACAGATTGTAAGATCATATCCCTTACGGATCAGCCATTGGTTTCTCACATCCAGCCTTGATTTTACTATGACATTGCTGTAGAACAACACCCCCTCACAGAAATAAACAGAAAGACTCTTCAGTAAACCAATTTCAATCACTTACTCAGTAGCTTGTGTCTAGCATCACCTAAACATAGTATCCCAAACACTTGGTAAAACCAAACCTGGAGATCCTCTCATTCTGCTCCCGATGACATCAAGGAGATAAGGTATTCAAGAAGATAATGTATTCAAGGAGATAATGTACTCAAGGAGATAATGTATCCAAGGAGATAATGTATTCAAGGAGATAATGTATCCAAGGAGATAATGTATTCAAGGAGATAATGTATCCAAGGAGATAATGTATTCAAGGAGATAATGTATCCAAGGAGATAATGATAATGTATCCAATCCAAGGAGATAATGTATTCCAAGGAGATAATGTATTCAAGGAGATAATGTATCCAAGGAGATAATGTATTCAAGGAGATAATGTATTCAAGGAGATAATGTATTCAAGGAGATAATGTATTCAAGGAGATAATGTATTCAAGGAGATAATGTATTCAAGGAGATAATGTATTCACAAAACAATACATGTCTGATAGACAGAGATTGAAAATAGTAATGATTTTCAAGATATAATCAATGAATAATATATTTCAGGGCATGCACAGGACAATTCACCGTCATCAAGATCATTGTTAACATGATAAATTCAGAATACAATGATTACTTGATTTGCATCTTTTCACACTATTCTGTTGCTCAATTCCTGCAATACATTAAAATAGGGAATACACACTTAACATTGGTCTGGAGAGTGTGTTAGAATGGATTTATACCAGTCTTAGCCATATTACAACATTGCAGAGAAACCCTTGTGGGGTCTGAAACCAAGACTTTAGTGTGACATGATTTACAACACTCCCCCAGCCCTCATTTCGACTAGTGTATTATGTAACAGGAGTGTTTATGGAGGAAACAAGCAGTCTATCCTGATTTGCACATGATATTGGACTAATGGCCGTGTCTCATCACATCCAATGGACAGGAATATGATTTTCAGTAAAAGCATTTTAAAAGTGAATCCCAACAAAGCTGGTAGTGATGTATCACCAATCAATCACAGTTAAGACCAATTAACTTGAAATCATTGTTGAAATGATGATATAAGTCCATTCCCTCCAAGGAGTGAGTGAGTATGGTTTTATGCCACTTTTAGCAATATTCCAGCAATATCACGCAGGGACCCCAGAAATGGGGAATTGAACCGGCTTCTTCGGCGTGATGAGCAAACGTTTTAATCACTAGGCTATCCCACCGTCCAAACTCCAAAGAGGAACTCAAGTCCTTATACTTACATCTTCTCAAAGAAAAGAGTTCAAAACTGATTCAGTGTTTCCTAAAGTTTCCGGCTGAATCCAGATCTCTAAGCGCTAATGTTTCCTTGCCAACTGATTCCTTTAACCACATCGTGTATACCACTAACCCGTGAAGATTCGGGTTAGAACTGGTCCTCAGCAAACCATGCTTGTCGTAAGAGGCAACTAATGGGATCGGGTGGTCAGGCTCGCTGACTTGGTTGACACATGTCATCGTATCACAAATGTGCAGATTGATTCTCATGATGTTAATCACTGGATTGTCTGGCTTAGACTTGAACATTTACAGACTCCCACCAAATAGTGAGAGTGTGAGTATGAATTAACAATATTCCAGCAATATCACAGCATTCGTCACCACTCGCCCCTTTCCGTAACCTGCAAGAAGACTCATCCCCCTCTCGATGCTTGTTATGTGCGAAAATACGACAAACCAATCAGAATGCGCGTAAATGACTGCGGTGCTTTGGTAAATATAATCCCAAGTACTTAAATCGTTTATGGCATTATGTCACTTTTTAAAAAATCATGAAAAATGTATATCGTCATATCGAAAGTACAAAGAACTTAGCAGGATTTTGTTGTCTAATGTGAAGTTTTGGATAAGAATCATGCGACTGATAGTGAGAGATTCAAATACACGCACGTGCGTTTGTTGACATAACGGCTCTCATGGGTCCAACTGAGGGTGTCTCTGACAATCTTGCGGGCTTGCTATGGAGATTGTACGTGCGCTTCGACCAATTTTAGGAAATGTAATTATATCTCGCTACAAGTTTCAAAACAATAATATTATATTTGTATGTAACTAATCAACTTTAATCTTTAACATTGGGCATATATTTCAATTCTCTGGGAATATTTTAGTCTGACCTTCTTGTAGTCATATATTTTTCAGTGAATTCAGTTAAAATTCCACTTGTGGTATGACAGCAAGGTTACACGTATGTCCAGTTTGAGAAATATTATAAAAGTCATTTTTTGAGTTTCTGCTTTGGGATTTAATGTAGTGGTTTTTTTTTACAAATTTGATTTGCATATTCAATAAAACAAATCCCATTTGTGATTATTGAATCCTTTTCAGAAATATAATTGGAAATATAAGGTGAATATCTGGTAATAATTACGTCAGAATATGTCTTTAACAAATATGTTTTTTTCTTTCTATTAGTTGTACCAAGGAGGTTTAATTCTTTAGAATAAATAGCAAAACCAAAAAACAGCAATACAACGTACATGTGCTTCGGTGATTTTTAGAAACAATGGAATCAAACAGGGATAAGGTTATCGTTCCTGTTTGAAGTAGTTCTGATGTTCATGCGCCAATATGAAATCCTTCCAGAGGGGCACGAGTCACTATTCGGCTTGTCCCGGAATAACACGAGTTGGTCACGAATGATATCACAGCTAAGACCACCAGAAATGGGCTTCACACTTTGTGAGGGGAATCAAACCCAGGCATTCAGCAATACAAGCAAACACTTCTCGCACTAGGCTACCCAACCGCGCCCCCGCCATATAGCAGGAATATTGCTGAGCGTGGCGTTAAACAACCACAGAAAGTATATCACTACTCTAAACACCTGATTATATATTGTTTCCATGCTCCATCGCTATGGCACACTTCTTCCTATGACCAAACAGCCCGCGGGGGTACTTGTACACCTTCCCACAAACACACACATATGTCTTGACATTCCCTATCCCATGGACAGCCTCCATGTGGTACTTCTTGTTGCTAGGATTGGTGAAACTCTTGCCACATTCATCGCACTGCCACTGCCGTTTCATGGAGGAAAATGTTTCTGAATTGTCAGAAAATGTAAGTCTCGGGTCAAGGGACTGTTGTCCAATGGGGTAAAACAAATGACCTTGACCTGAATGTCTGGACAAATCCTGATCTGAACTCAAGCCATGACCTGAAACCAAAACAAACACAGTGACGGAGGCTGGTCATGAGATGGGAAACTCAGAGACTTGCTGTAAGATAATAACAATTCCTCTACACACGATATAGGGGTGTGGGGTAGCCTCGTGGTTAAAGCGTTCCTTTGTCGCGCTGAAGGCCTAGGTTCGATTCCCGAAATGGGTACAATGTGTGAAGCGCATTTCTGGTGTCCCTGCCATGATATTGCTGGATTATTGCTAAAAGCGGCGTAAAACTATACTCACTCGTCACTCACTCCACTCTAAGATATCAATGCAAGAGAATTACCACTATCTGTTGTGAGCAATTCCACTGATCATAAAAGGAAAATAGCTGTGAAAATTATGTGTATGCTCCATCGAAAAATAATGACCAGGTGTTTGTGAAGAGAGCATGTTCTGCACCATAGGCAGGAAAGCTAACCTTTCCCAGGAGAATATTAATAGCAAATGCTGCTGTTATCATAATGTTGCACAGATATAACTGTGTCACGGCTTATCAATCTACTGATGGTCCGCAAGCAGCCATTGGTTTGGTGTGGTTTGTTTGTTGCTTAATGCCACACTCAGCAATATTCCAGCTATATGGCGGCGGTCTGGACCAGAAAATCCAGTGATCAACAGTATGATCATTGATCTACATAACTGGGATAAGAAGACATGTGTCAACCAAGTCAGCCTCATCCTGCAGTGTTCCAGTGGCGCTGGCCATCACATATTTCTGTATTGAAATGTCATGAAAGTGTACGAAGCGCTCGTAAAAGGTTTGGATCTGGTCCTTTCTTACAACCTGCATATACAATAGTGGGGCAACAATATACAAACTGATGATATATTAAACAATGCCATTAAATGGAACTCAGACCAAATAAAACTAGACTTTAAAGTTAAAACACTTCTGGTGATGTGTGGTATAAAAGCTTAGGTGATATTTCATCATCAGAACATAATGTCCAGTTACCTTATTTCATGTGTATAAATAATTGTCACAGATGATTCTGAAGAAACAACAACTCACACAGATTATTGTTCAAACTATCAGAACTACATTAAACTGCAGTTAATGAACCTAAGGGAAACACTCATTTCAGTTTGTTATAACTGTAATTTGTCAACTGTACACAGCATTCGAAATAATAGCCGACCAGGAGGCCCAGCGCTGGTTGTTATTGTATCGGGCCGGCAGTTTCAAATATTTGCAGGCCCTTGTGGCCTTCAGTAACTTATCTGTCTTTTTTCCCCACAGGAATCTTCACCTTAGGTTTTTTGTTTTGTTTATTAACGTTCGGGAATCATCCATGATCCATCATGTTACGATAACTTATAGTTTCACTTCCTGGTATTTCAGCGCTTTGCGTGTAGGAATGTCAACACCAGTCTTTCACAAATAAAAACGTCTCTCTGTGCCATTGGCTTCGCTAATTGATTTTGTAGAAACAGTGTGATACTGTGTACAGTTTAGTCGATTTTCTTTTTATTGGTGTGACTTTAACAAAATGGGCCTGCAGATTTCATTCAGGGCCTGTAGATTTTAAAGCCTGCAGGCGGCAGCAGGCCCTGATGGCCAACTGGCAAATTAAAGTATTGCAAACACTGACTGTACAGCAAGTGGTTAGGACAAAAAAAGGTCATTTTATCCGTCAGTTCACAAGTGTGTTTGATATAAACAAAGTTTGCTGTATTTGTTTTTGAAATTCAGTCAAAGCTCATTCAATAGGCTCTGCTGGCAAACTTATTTTCCTGCAAAATATACCTTTGGAATATTAGCCACTGTTGAAATTCGTATGGCCTGGAAGATACAAAGATCTCAAATTCCAAGTGTAACACATTCTTTACATTTTACTCATCCATAATCATGATAAAGCTAACATTTGAAATTATATTATTACGACAACCAGGTAAAATTATTTTAAAAAAGTGAATGCAATCTTTGTGACAGTAATTGTTCCCACTGACTGAGATTGACTCAATACCTATTAGTGTTGGGAATTGGTTGAAATCTCACAATTGATGATTGCTTCATTACCAACGAACAATCATCGAAAAAAATTGGTTAGTGGTATTTTTCAGATTTTCCTACCAAGGTTGTTATTGTACATATGTATAACATGATGCAACTTGCTACTTTAAAGTGATCAGTAATATATCATGAACATAAACTTTCTGTAGTCTTCAAGAAATATTCAGTCATGACTTTTCAGTTAGTGAAGTGAGTTTTCTAAGAATTAAACAAGTTTTCAGGCCCTGACAACTTCGAAGATATGTTCCATCGTCAAGTGTTTCAAACACTAAAACAGCAGTTCCAAAATCGTTTGTGTTCGATTATGAGAAAATGTGATCGATTGCTTGGACGTTTGGTCACTTCGACCAATCTTCATTTATTTCAATTAATCGGAACACCACTAATACCTATAATGCTTCATAACCAGGGATCGGCGGGGTAGCCAAGTCTTAAAGCATTGGTTCATCACGCCGAAGACCCGGTTTCGATTCCCCACATGGGTACAATGTGTGAAGCCCATTTCTGGTGTCCCCCGCCGTGACATTGCTGGAATATTGCTAAATGCAGTGTAAAACTGAACTCACTCACTCACTCATAACCAATTCTCTGTAGTTCAGACGCAATATGACAGAGCATCTGACACCTCGTGGACCTGAGACTTGAAGATGGACCTTATGCGGTACCATCATTTACTAGTGCTACAGCAAACTCACTATGAGGTGAATACAATGTTTTATTAATATATAGAAATGAATTTAAAATAACAAACATGTCATGTAATCATGTATGTTGAAACATTTCAACATTTTTTGTTAAGAAAAATATGAGGGTGAGCGAGTTATTATTTTACGTCACATTGGCAATATTTCAGCCATATCGTGACGAGCCACATTTATACATAAATCGTCAAGCAAAAAAGCATTACACTGTTGTAAATATGATAGTAGTGACCCTGAATGACTTGAATTCATGAAGTGATACAGTTTGATTCTGCGAATATGCGAGTGAATCGTAACTGGACTAAGATAAACATTAAATATTTTCAGCTATCCAGATGAATGTTATTTGGTATTTGTTCGAGGACCAGAGCAGTTTTCTAAATGCTCTTAACTTGTCCTAAAATCATATAAATATTCACTTTGTCATGTTTTTGTTCCTTTTGAGGTTAAAAACTTTCCTGACTTTCTATCACATTTAAATCTAAGATTTTTACAGTCCTCTTGTTATATACGTTGGTTAGTTGTTTAATGCCGCACTCAGCAATATTCCGGCTATATGGTGGCGGTCTATGAATAATTGAGTCTGGACCAGACAATCCAGTGATCAACAGCATGAGCATCGAGCTACGCAATTGGGATGCGATGACATGAGTCAACCAAGTCAGTGAGCCTGACCACCCGATCCCGTTAGTCGCCTCTTACGATAAACATGGGTTACTGAAGTCATTTGTGACAAACTTTAAATCATGGACCAGACAAAAAGACATGTCCATTAATCAGATTCTCAGCCAATGTTCTTCACTAGTGATGGTACAAGATCTAGGAACGAATGCCATTTTATCACATTCTTTGAAATAGATCATAAATATCAGACTTTCAACATGTTCTGGCATGCAAGAGAATCAATCTGCATTAGCAGACAGGTCTTTCAATGGACGAAGAACAAGATTCACCTAATCATGTTCCTTGGTGCAGCTCACATGTCCCAGAATTTCTGTGTCTTCTCAATGCTCTCATGTATTTGTACACCTTCCCACACTCACACGGAAACACAGCATGGTTATGTACGGACTCAAAGTGAACCTTCTTGCTTCCAGATTCGGTAAACTGCTTCCCACAAATCTCACACTGAAACTGTTTGGAATTTCTGGGTCTAGAAGTGTCAAAGGTAACTTGCTGGAAAAACAAATCTTCCCCTAAAGGAAAGAGATTTTCGGAGTGTAGAGTTTGTCCCCTTGGTGCTTGTGTTCTGCTAGCATCCAAACTCATTGTACTTTCAGTTAATGTCTGCTTTGCATAGACACAGCCATTACCTGAAAGTAACAAAAAGTCAAATCTGAGACTGAAGAAAATTAACAGAACTCATTTATTTTCATATGAATTCCTGTTTTTGCAAAACCTTTGAACTGTCTTGGTGTTACAAACCTGTAAAATTTATCGATGTTTTTTCAAAACCCTGGAATTGTCTTTGTATTTCCAGACAAAGAAACAAAACATATCAACATGAGGTTAATTACAGTACAGTACCAGTTACAGTACCAAACCTGCAGAATATAGGCAAACAAGTAGAGCTCATGACGGAAGCAACGCCAATTCACCAGATGGCCGTTACGCAATGCCTAGTGTTTGCCCAACATATTGTTGGTGGTACATACCGGGGTACTTGTTCGGTATGCTGCTCAATAACATCAAGTTTAGAAACATAATTGTGAAGTTGAATGTGAGCAAAGGCCACTAACATTTACATTTTTCACATTTAAGACACTCTCACATTCACTTGCATATTTGCATTGTATGTGTAGTGATATTATAAGTTGTATGCTTCTCGAGGGTAATACAGTCAGATGTACGCCTCTTAGTAATGTTCAGTGTTACCCACTGGTACCACAGGGTAATACGGTCTGATGTACGCCTCTTAGTAATGTTCAGTGTTACCCACTGGTACCACAGGGTAATACGGTCTGATGTATGCCTCTTTGTAATGTTCAGTGTTACCCACTGGTACCACAGGGTAATACGGTCTGATGTATGCCTCTTTGTAATGTTCAGCGTTACCCACTGGTACCACAGGGTAATACGGTCTGATGTATGCCTCTTTGTAATGTTCAGTGTTACCCGAGCCGGTAGGAAGGATGAACACATTTCGATACGTATGGTTGTGAATCTTGAGAGTCAAGAACTTATTTCTTGGTGAAAAACAAACTTATAAGAGTGTGGTGTGATGTTCTTGCTGGAAAACCATGTGAGTGAGTGAGTGAGTGAGTGAGTGAGT